TGTGCCAGCCATAATTAGGGCAAAATGAATTTATTCTGTGAGCGCACAGATGGGCTCGTGAACACTCCATCACATGCATTAAAACCATTTTCACAATGCCACAATTTGGACTGAGAGAGGACTTGGCTGATGGATCCCGGCTTGGGAAATGTGAGTTGCGGCTCTCGTGGGCCACTGGGATTTGGCTGGGGAAGTGGCAGCTGATATTATTTCCTTGGATCTTGCACCTATAGACAGCCTCTTCTCCAGCCCTGTCACCCATGATCTGTCTTAACTGGAGAGGCCTGGGATTGAATTTGGGACCTAACACATCAACACATGTGCACTATCCCTGAGCTATGGTTCCTGGGAAACAGAAGGATCCTTTGGAACGAAGTAAGCTGCATCATGGATATACCCAGGGCATCTGGCTGATTGCTTTGGGGGAGATAACTGGTCTAAAGCATAAGGGTCTCATGGCCGTAGGGCAAGATCTTATGTGGTGAGGAAGTCAGCTTTGGCCAAAAGTCTGCCCTTCCATTGAGTTGGGCTGTTATCATTCTACTCCCCCCCAAAGCCATAATCACCTCCATCTTTGAAGAATATATGCGAGTTTGTTTTGTCCAGATTACACACCGTGGGGTGCCGCGACTTGCTAATTAGCTTACAGACAATATTTTGCAGTGACTGCATTGAAACGGTGATGCGGACATCTGGCAGGCCCATCATGGAGAAATCTAGGACACTACAACTGACCCTCGCAGCTCCACAAGAGATAATGCGTCTCCCCTTACGGGGAAAGTCAACCGTCAGATGAGGTTAAATCAAGGTCGGGGCAGCCCCCTGATCTGCATCACACCTGTGCGCATGAGCATACATTCCTGTCATGAAAAGCGCATTCGCAGCGGTAGGCAATGTGCAATGGTCAAGTCGGCATCATTTGTTTTCAGAATTAATTGGTGCCTCGGATCAAAGGACTGGTGGAGCTCTAAGGAAAGCGAGCGGCCATTACGCAGGTCAGGTGAGTTCATTACCAGTTAACAGCAAGGCAGGGAGAGGCACAACACGCCGTTAGGTGCACCTAACAATATTGAAATCAATTGCAAGGCCATCCATTTCATTCTACGCCATTTCCCTAGGCCATAATAACCAATGGAATTCAGAACCATTGCAAAGGGGAGTCTGCAGCAGAGGAGAGGACTCGCAAGGATGGGTTTAAATTAAGGGTGGGAAGATACTGGCTGGATATTAGGAAGGGGAATTACAGTAAGAGTTGTGCGACAGTGGAATCAGCTGCCTACGGTGGTGGTGAGCTCGCCTCCCTGGCAATCTTTAAGCAGCGGCTGGACAAACCCTCGTCAGGGATGCTCTAGGCTAGATGGCCTGTATGGCCCCTTCCAACTCTATGATTCTATGATTCTATGCCCTGTCTAGGATCCTTATTTTTTGGAACCAGTTTCCCGTGGATTGGAAGAGATTCAAAAGAGGTTTGTGTATTATGGGTCAAAATATGGGCTTTCCCGAAACATGGCCGAGGAAACCCATCAACATCTGTTCCCTTTGGACCTGAATTCACCTACTGCAATGGTCTTTTCACTTCAGGGAACCCATTCCAGATCGACTTCTCTGCCACGGAACTATCTGTCTGTCTGTGGTTCTGAACCCCTGTATCTTGAAGAGGTTTCTAGAGCATGTTATGGTGAGCACTGCTGGTTCAGGTGGGTGCTAACCAAACTCTACTGTCACCCTTTGTGAACTCAGGTGAAAAGTACCTGTGGCCTGTGTCGTTCACCCCCATCCTGCATGAACAGGAACTATGCCTTAGAACACCCCCTCCGCATCTGCACATCGAAAGGGATGTTTGGGGAAGCTGGTCAAGAGTATCTACTCTTACCTGATTCCATAAAGTGCAATCCTATGCAAACTTACTCCAGTCTAAACTCACTGAAATCAATGAATTAAGATGGGAGTAACTAGGCACAGGACTGCAGTGTTAACTAAGGATCCCTAATGAGACTTTCAGAACTCTCTCATGGTGGGCCTTTCCCCGGCAGCTCCACAGTTACGGCACAAGCTCCCCAGCCCTCGTTTTGAAACGAGGTCCTGTTCCCCGCCCTCCACCAGATTGCCAATGAAAGTGACCTGTTTTGGTTCAAATGAGAAAGCCTCTCCCACTCGTGATTTTTAGGAGGTAGCTGAAGATGGTTTTATTTAGGACTGCATTTGACTGATTTATTGGCAGTCCCAATTGGAGTTTTGAAATTGTCATTTTATAGTTGTTTTGATTGTATTTTCAATAATATTTGATTTGCGTTGTGAGCTACCGTGAGTTCTGCAAGGAAGAAAGGTGTCTGATAAATGGTCTACATAAAGAAATAAAGAATCCATGGTAGCCTTGTTATGGGCAGTTGAATTTCTTTTTCTGAAATTCACTTTTTTGGCTGGAGCCATTGATTCCTCTTATTCTCTTTTTTCCCTAATTCGTTTCTCTTTGGTTTCTCTTTGTAGTTTTCTGTTTCACCACATGGTGGTGCTCTGTGCAACATTTTTTGGGGGGTAAATTCAGCCCTTGCAAGTTTGCTTTTGATGTCACAAACCACAGGATGGTGCTCTAACAGGAGGATAGGAAGGTTTGGGAAGACATGGACTGCCTCTGAGCATCTGCAAAGTGCAATGCCAAGATTCTGCAGCGCCTCCCTTCCTGCCCCTTCTCGCTATGAGTTTCTCTTTCGAGCAAAACGGGACTGATTAGAAACAGACTCCGGTTTCCTAAAAGAAGGGGAAAGAAATGGATTGCTGGATTTCAAGGAGAAATTGGGTAAAGAGGAATTAAGAGAATTTCTCTCAGAATGCTATCCTCGGGACACGGTTTGGACACCACTGGTCTAAAGAACGGTCCTCAGGGGATCAATAATGAATGATTAGGAAACAGAAGGTGTTGCTTACAAAGAAGTCAGCATATCTGTTTCATATGCTGTATGCTCTTCGTATTATCATGCAAAACATAAAGGCCCACGGACTCCCCCCACCGTATCGCATTCAAAGCTGGGGGACAAAAGAAAAATCTAATCTTCTGCATGCCAGGGTGGATGGTCCTCAGGGAACAAACAAAAGCCAAAAAAAAAGAGGTTATAGTGACCATTCCTGGAAACTTACTCAGACTCTTTGTTCCATAACCGTCGTCACCTAATCCGGGGAGGTCCTGCACGGAAGTCCCCAGAGAGAGCAATGAGAGAAAAGAACAGCCGCAGAAGAGGAAGGAAGAAGTCAGTGGAGTTGAAATGGATACTACCATGACAGACCATGTCGAGGGCACAGTCTGGATTCCTGCTCTCATTTGGTAACAAGGTCCTGTGTCCCACCCTCCACCTGAATCCCCACCAGATTGACAATGAAAGCGACCTGTTTTGGTTCAAACGAGAAAGCCCATGCCATTCTCAGGAGCTGCATTTTTTTTTGTTGCTTTTATCAGCCCGTTTTTATCGGCTGGATTTGTTTTCACTGTTATCTCGGGTTGACTTGCATCTGTCATTTTTATCAGCTTGACTTCTTTCACTCCACTGTTGGGATAGTTTTATTGTTTCTGTTGTGAGCCGCTTCAAGCAAGTTCTGCGGAGGCGGCACACAATTTTTCTAATGAAACGACGAAAGAAACTTTTTTTTTAACATAATTAGTCAAAACGAAAGTATTTTCTCCGGCGGAGTGGAAATGTCTAGCCCAGTCTCATCAGATCTTGAAAACTAAGTAGGGTTGGTCCTTGTTAGAACTTGGATGGGAGGTCACCAGGGAAGCCCAAAGTTGTTATGCAGAGGCTAGCAATGGCAAACATAATTAGTCAAAACGAAAGTATTTTCTCCGACGGAGTGGAAAGGTCTAGCCCAGTCTCATCAGATCTTGAAAACTAAGTAGGGTTGGTCCTTGTTAGAACTTGGATGGGAGACCACCAGGGAAGCCCAAAGTTGTTATGCAGAGGCTAGCAATGGCAAACATAATTAGTCAAAACGAAAGTATTTTCTCCGACGGAGTGGAAAGGTCTAGCCCAGTCTCATCAGATCTTGAAAACTAAGCAGGGTTGGTCCTTGTTAGAACTTGGATGGGAGACCACCAAGGAAGCCCAAAGTTGTTATGCAGAGGCTGGCAATGGCAAACCATCTCTGTTTGTCCCTTGTCTTGAAAACCCAACAGAGTCACCGTAAGTCAATGGCAGGAAGCTGGCCAATGTTTTAGGCAGACATGATGGTGCGCCAAAAGAAATGCATGAGTAAACCAGTGGCACTCTGATACCTCTTTTGGTGTTCTAAAAAAATCTCGTCTGCATCCAGACTTCCCTCTATGGCATGCCCATTATCTCCCCAGAAGCGGGGATTTCTAAATTCGCAGTGAATTGCACTTCTGACTCGCCACATCCGCTGAACAATTTCAGAACCCAAAAGGCTCGCACTTCTGATGGATAATCCAAAATGGCCCTTGTGGTTTTCAGTAATACCACATCTAGATCCTGAAGTGACAGGAGAGACTACTGTTTTAGCCTAAAAACCTGGAGAGTCAACCAGGTATCCTCAAGGTGCCAATGTGATAGTTTCAAGTTGGAGAATGATGAAAAAGAACTATCTATTTTTTCGCTTAGAACTTATCAGTAGGATTTTTCCTAAGCCATATTCGGTAGAAAGAGTGATTGTGGTCACCCCAAACCGGATAGTACGGGCTTTTTCTTCAACCAAAACTTGAAATGCGATGATTTAAACGAGGGGCTTAAGCATTCGGTTTGTAAATTTGGTAATCAAGAATTCGTCAGCCAATGGTTACAGCTTTATTTTTTATTCCATGGGAACGTTTTTTTAAAAAGGAAACTGAGCGGAATCCAGACTGCTGTCGAACACTGGTCACAGTAGTAATGCCTCACCTGCCCTGACACTGACTTTTGTTTGCCTAGGTGTGTGTGTGCATGGGAGGGGTTTCTGGTGTCATGCGCTTCACCCGTGTGCTGCATCGTGACATTGCCTCTAAGCCGTTTACTTACGTTCCGGGTCACTCGTTTCCTGCTCACTCAGCTCCTTGTTCTTGTAGAATGGAAATTTTCGTGAAAAGATGAAGTTCTTTTTACGCTTGTCATTGAATGACTGTGAAGGAGAAAAGGCACGGGGGGCAAAAAACAGGGACGTCTAATTGTTGTCACACTCATGCTGACAGAACAACTAGTTTGTAAAAGTGGGAAAAAACCCTGCGAGTGACTCAGTCCGATATAATTTTCTTTTAATTTTTAAGAAAAAAAGCAAACCGGCAGAAAAGATTCAGAGCAAAGAAGGTAAAGGTCTCTGAAGATCTGGCTGGAATCGAAGTTGGCCTCCGATGTAACCCTAAACACTGCAATATGCTCGTTCCTAACAGAACAATGCTCACCTTTGGAATGCGGGTCAAGCACTGCCTTGGGGCCTCTATGATAAAACGAACATTATCAGGTTATAAGCTTTCAAGGGTCAAAGTTCCCTTTGTTAGAAAGCTCATACCCCCAAAATGTTATCGGTCTCTAAGGTGCTACTGGAATCGAATCTATATATTCTACTGGAGACCAACACGGCTACCCTTTAAAATTATCACGTTGTTAATGAAGGAGGCTTGTGAAGTCCACACAGCAACTTCTTATGCTCTAGGTTCGGGCATCTCATGCTGACTGAGAAGTTTATTTATTTATTTTATTTTATTGGATTTATACCCCGCCCTCCCCGCAGACAGGCTCAGGGTGGCTCACAGTTTACGGCACGCGCACTTCAAGAAAGCTGCATGACAGATTGTCCCTTGGAGACAGTGAGGGTTCTTTAAATGCCTTCTCCTGGGCTATTTTTGGGCAGGAACGCACAGGAACGGAGTTCTGTCTGGCTCCCAAGTTGGCCACACCCAGCAGGAACTCATTAGCATGATAGGCCACACCCAACAGCAGAAACTCATTAGGATTGGCTACATTAGGGGTGTGTGGCCTAACGTGCAAAGGAGTTCCTGCTACAAAAAAAGCCCTGGACCGTTTTGACAACAAACAAGGTCAACAGAATAACAAGCAAAAGGTGGGTGTGGCTGGATGACCACACTTCTGGTAACATGGGAATGTGGCTTAATATGCTAATGAGTGGTGCAGTCAGGGGGGTGGCCTAATATGCTGGGTTTCTGCTGCTGGGTGTGGCCTATTATGCTAATGCGTTCCTGCTGGACTTTTTCTACAAAAAAAGCCCTGGCCTTCTCCAAATCCTGCTGCTGGCACCAGCGTGTCTGCCGACACGGACCACACAAACCTCCCAAAGCCACCTGGGATGGGCATGGGAGTGGGATGGCATGAACTGAGGTTAACAAACCATGAACCAAGCCTGGTTCATGACGAATTTTGGTTCGTGCCCATCCCTAGTCAGTATGCTTTGTTTGTTCCCCTGCTACCTGTGAAACTGGAACCAGCACCTGGCTACTGAACCTGCTCCAAGCCCTTGTGGTCAGGACCAGAGCAGATAGAAAAATAACTTTGGGCTTGTGGTCGACTTTGCATTTTGACTCAGCCCCGGTGCATTTAAGGTAGGCTCTATCCCACTGGACCTAGCTCACAATGTGGCTCGAATACATAACCTGACGGGTCTTGAATGTAGAAATACTGGTTTTGAAGACCCAGCTCTTCCCTGGTGTGTTTTTGGTACTGTTTCTTCTCTGTGCGCCTCAGTTCTTTGCCTGTAAGACAGGGGCTCAGCTCATGGGGATTGCTGGGATGGCAGACGTGATAGGAACGCTGAGGCACTACGCAAACTAAAATCACTAAGGAAATGGTGGTGGTGGTTTTCTAAGCAGAAATCTAAATTTAGCTGCGTTGATCGGCAGCATTGAAATAGTGATGCGGCATACTCTGGCTCTCATCCAATTATAGTTGCATGCAACCATGTTGGCCTGCTTGTTTCAGTGGGCGGCCATGTTGATCTGCGGTTGAACAGCTCAGTTCAAGTCCAGTAGCACCTTAGACACCGACAAGATTTTAGGGGGTATAACCTCTCAAGGGACAAAGTTCCCTTTGACCAGGGCTATTTTTGAGCAGCTATTTTTGGGCAGGAATGCACAGGAATGGAGTTCCGGCTGGCTCCCAAGTTGGCCACGCCCAGCAGGAACTCATTAGCATAATAGGCCACACCCAACAGCAGAAATCCATTAGGATTGGCTTCATTAGGCGTGTGTGGCCTATCATGCAAAGGAGTTCCTGCTACAAAAAAAAGCCCTGGGTTTTGACAACAAACAAGGTAAACAGAATAACAAGCAAAAGGTGTGTGTGGCTGGATGACCACACTTCTGGTAACACGGGGGTGCATCCTAATGTGCTAATGAGCTGTGCTGGCAGGGGTGTGGCCTAATATGCTAGTGAGCTTCTGGTGTTGGGTGTGGCCTATTATGCTAATGAGTTCCTGCTGGGCTTTTTCTACAAAAAGAGCCCTGCGGCTTTGACAGATATGAAGTATCTGGACTCGTGTGTTGGCCTGAGGGAGTGTTACAATGTGGATGGAGATATCTAACCCCCTCCTCAGGCAGAAGTGCAAATGGGCATCACCGTGGGAACCAAACGCATATTGCTATGCAGATGTAAATCTAGATATTATCTGCACCCAATCTACATCTTCTCACTCCAGGAAAGAAATGGCACATGACCAATGCTCCCTCTAAGCTGTGGAGTCTTGACAGCAAAAATTCTACTTTGTGAGCTACTGGCATTAAAGTTGTGAGGGAGCGATTTGGCTACTGCGTAAATTAGTTTGCTCTAGAGCCATCCTTCCCGAGCTAAGACAAAAATGTGTGAGCCAGAGGCTAAAAAACTGTGAGCTAGCTCACACTAACTCAGCTTAGAGGGAACACTGCATATGACCTCTCTTAGCATTCATCTGACTTGGTGGAGCTGCTTATAGTGTAATGCTTACAGTCAATGACTTCTAACCATGTTGCATTGATGGGGAGGGTTAAGGACTAAACTGGAAGTAAATTGAGTGTCTTTCGTTCTAGCGGCGAAAATGGAATTTACGTGTTTTCCCACGCCCATGTTTTTTATGTCCTGGGAATTATATTCACGAGCCCTGTTTTCATTCTGAAAACTGCAATGGCCTTTGATGCCAGCCAGTAAAGATGCTGAACTCTGTGCCTAAATTTCTCCACAATCTGTTCCGGAAGCATTGCTAGCATTACATTGGGCAGAATGGGTTTGCAAATGGTACCCAGTTGAAGAAAAGAACTTTGGCTGCGGTCACACACACTGAACAATCCACTTTCAATGCACTTTCAATGCACTTTCAATGCACTTTCAATGCACTTTCCAACTGGATTTTGCCAGTTCACTCAATAAAATCCAGTTCGAAAGTGCACGGAAAGTGGATTGAAAGTGGATGATTTGGTGCGTGTGATCACAGCCTTCGTGTATCTTTTATCCACCTACTGCCAGTCTGCTTCTGGGCCAAACGAGATATTACGGTGGCTATGGGTCCAACCCATGGCAGAAAGATTTGGCCATTTAAAACGTGTCATGAGGGCCTAATCCTGATTGGGCTCAGGGGCCGTGGTGGCTCAGAGGTTAAGATGCTGAGCTGCAAGACCGGAAGGTCTGTAGTTTGGCAGTTCGAGACCCAAGTGCCACGTGACGGAGTGAGCTCCCGTCTCTGGCCCCAGCTCCTGCCAACCTAGCAGTTCGAAAGCAAGAAATTGCAAGTAGATAAATAGGTACCACTTCAGTGGGAAGGTAACAGCGTTCTGTGTGCCTCAGCGTCTACTCATGCCGGCCACATGACGATGAAGATGTCTTCGGACAGCGCTGGCTCTTCGGCTTGGAAACAGAGATGAGCACCGCCCCCTAGAGTTGGATTCGACTGGCTTTCGAGCAAGGGAAACCTTTACCTTTACTTTACAGTGGGACCAAGTGATTTTCCTCCCCACGGCCCCATCTCAAGTGCGGAAACTGCTAAAAAGTCATAGACTTGGGTCTGAGCCGATCTAGGTTTGGCCTTAAATTCAGAGCTGAAGATCAGAGAAGACAAAATGTTGTGTTCGAAACTGAAGGACGGCCATCACCTCTGGTCTAAGTATCTGGAAAAGGCCAATGCCAGTTTTGGAATGGTTTCGTTATAGGCGTCACCAAAGTTTCATGCCACTTTTACATTCCGAGCATCTTTAAAATTTAAAAAAAAAAAGGGGGGGGGGGGAGGAAATAATATACATGAAAACCTATGAATGTCTCAGTGGGGAAAGGGTCGGGTGGGGATGGCGGATCTGAAACAACATGATCCTCATGCAGAAGCAACATAAAGAAGTCATGCATATACACGAGATAAAAGCAGATCAAATATAGACATATGAAGGGCTAAAAGCAATCTGGACCAGGATGCGGAATCGGCATGCGGATCACATTAACTGAATGGCCTGTAGAATCTGATGGAAATTAAAATGTGAGGTGGGGGTTTGCTTTTCTATTGTTTTGTGATTCCTTTCCCCCCACCCACCCAAAGTAAACCATTTCACAGGGTAACATTTTCTTTATGACATTTTAAAAATTAAGTTAGCTGGAACCATTTTACTGCAGACATCCATCAAATACATAAACATCCTCAGATCACAGTGTCTAAAACCAGGCAATTCTATCTTTTCATTTTTTCAATCCAACGGGTTGCCGGACAGCTGCACGAGTGTGCCATAGTTTACTGAACATCTACACTGCAACCACCATTTCAGCTTTAAATGTGCCTTTTTATGTTTGCTCCCTCTAAGCTGTGGAGTCTTGTGAGCAAGAATTCTACCTTGTGAGCTACTGGCATTAAAGTTGGGAGCGAGCGATTTTGGCTACTGCATAATTCAGTTGGCTCTGGAGCCCTCCTTCCTGAGCTGGAGGCTAAAAAAACCTGTGAGCTAGCTCACACTAACTCAGCTTAGAGGGAACACTGTCTCCAACAATCTGCTGTTAAAAGAAAAACAGGGAAATTTGCCTAGAAATAAGGTCGCCAACTCCAAGTTGAGGAATTGTTGGAGATTTTGGGGGCGGAGACTGGGAAAGGCAGGGTTAGGGGGAGAGGAAGGAACTAAGCAGAATATAATGACATGGAGTTCACCCTCCAAAGCAGCCATTTTA